GTGTCCAAAGTTGCTCAACTAATTCCAACTGAACTACAAAAATTGACAGAATTTTTCTTTGCTCTCTTAGTATTTCCGCACTTTCTACATTTGGTAACCCTCTAACGCACTGTTTAGGCCAACTCTCAAAACTTTTTCGAAGCCAAATTGGACCTGACCACCATTTTTTCATTAAGTACCAACTTCTCAGCCAAGATTCCTCTAGTAAGCAAATCTGCGGGATTATCGTCAGACGGACAATAATACCAATCACTTGGACTCGATCTTTCCTGAATTTCGACAACCCGGTTGGCAACGAATTGTTTCCATCTCTTCGCACTTCCCTTCACCCAATGTAACGCAAAACAAGAATCACTCCAAAACACTATTCTTCCAATTTTATTCTTGAAAACGCTCTTAAGGTAATTTTCCCATTCTAGCACCTATTACCATGACCATTAGTTCCAACCGTGGCAGCGTTAGTTTCTTTAACGGTGACACTCTGCTCTTCGACTTTATAAAAGATACTCTGTAGTTCCCATTATTCTCACAATATCTAAATAAACAACAGTTCCGTAAGCACTTGGTGAAGCATCACAAAACACATGTACTTCCGATTGCTCATTCTCACAATCCAGAAAACAATATCTCGGAATAGTAACGTCTATTAATTTTTCAATTTCGTTACACCACGTTATCCACTTTTGCTGCAAGTCCTCTGGCAATTCTTCGTCCCAATCACACGCTCTCTCCCAAATTTCCTGTAACGATAACTTTATACGTATCACAAACGGCGTAATCAAACCAATAGGATCAAAGATTCTTGCAGCTGTCTGTAAAACACATCTTTTAGTTCGTCGCAACGTTTTCTACGAATCCATTAAACCCTTCACCTCCAACGACAACTCATCTCTATCAGGATTCCAATTCAACCCCAGGACTTTCAGCTGTTGAACTCCCACTATCTCACTGTCACTAAGTCCATTTTCTATCCACAATTTTTCTAATTCTCGACTGTTCGACCTCAGTTTCCTCAAATTAAATCCATCCACTCTTTAATATTGATATAACAGCATCCGATGACAACTCAAACGATTCTCTCACACTATCTCCACCCATAATATAAATCATCTACGTAAAGTGATGAATTTAACATTCCAAATGACTTCGGTTTACTTTTCTCATATTTTTTATATGATGCTTTATCGTTAGCACTCCAAATAACAAGGGAACTTTTACATCCAAAGAGGTAGTCTTTTCATTCTCATAATTTTATATTCTTCACTAAGGTTATCTGAATACCAAAGAAATTTTAAGAATTTTCTATCTCTTTCAGAAATTTTTATCATTAAGAAAGCTTTCTCTATATCACCATTAAACGCTATTTTATAATTACGAAATTTTAGAATCACATCAAGAATATTTGGATTTAAAGTTGGGCCAATTTCCAAACAATCGTTTAAAGAAAGATTACCTTTAGATTTTGAACTACAGTTAAAGACCATACGAACTTTGGTTGTTTCTTTATCTTCCCTAACAACTGCTCTATGAGGCATAAAATACTCATGCTCATCTCTCTCACATTCCTCAATAACTCCATTTTGTTTTTGGTATATCCCTATACTCATTAGCAACCCAATCATTTTTAGAAAAATCCATTCCTAACTCATCAAATCTGTTTTATATTTTAAAAAAAATAATTATTTCCTAATTCATCGTAACTAAACTTCCATAATAAATCAGTTTCATATCTCTCATTCACGAATTTTAAATTTTTCTCAAATTCATCTATCAGCGCTTTATCAACTACATGTAGCTCTTCTTTTTCTTTAATTCCTAAAGCATCAAACTCCCACAATATCTGAACATCTGAAGCGGCTACACAAAAATTTGCCGAAACTGCAGTCTTAGCATTTGGCTTGTAAACATCTTTACTTCCCTGTAAACCAAACCCGAAAATCGTTGGCACGCAAGTAATTTCCTGGTTTATTTTTTTCGAAAGCTGAGGCTTCAATAACCTGCCAAAACACACACATCTGCCCCAATTAATATCTCAATGTTTATATCACTGTCACAGCAGTCGGCTAAGACTAATCCGCAGGAGTGCATAATATTTCGCACTTCTTCATTTGGAACAGAAACATATGCCGCTATAAAGGTATCGGCCACTAGCACTTCAATTTGAATACACTGATTAGGGTTGTATCTACTAGATAATTTTAATTCTACTACTTCATATAATTTCTCAGTAGGCTTTGCTGAGCCAAAAGAAAAAACTGACAACCTTTCCTTTCTAATTGATTTTAATTTCAAGCAATTGGCAAGGGGCTTCGTACACTAGCTTCTTTCGGAGCCATTATCGCATAATATGCGCGTCATTTTATTGAATTCATGGATGAATTTTGTTTTATCAATAGAGCTAACGTATACACACACTGCAAGAGAGTAACAGGACAGATGATTTATGTATTGACCTTGACACTGAAGCATTGCATTGAGTTTGTTCGGCGCCACCGTTCTCTACTTTAGAAAGAGGTTTATTTTGTTTATAGAAATGAATCATAAAATGTTAAGGAAAAGCAAGACTTTCCCACTTAATTAGCGTCTATTAAATAATGATCACGATTATATCTACTTTTAGTAATCTCAAGCAGCAACCGTCTCAGCCTCAGCTTGGGTGGGTGACCACCCATGTGACTTACGGGCTCTTGTTCCCGTGCTTTGTATTTATCTCCTGACGAGCTTGGACTAATACGCATAAGTAAATAATTTAGAAGACTGATTTATGAAATTAATTTCACTATTTCTACTTTCATATATGTTTTGTACTGCATTTAATTGCAATTTTAGCGAGGTATTTTTCAGAAGATTCGTAACCAATGATAAGTCAGCTAGCAGCCCACGTGACAACTGGTCACGCCCCTTCGCCATTAGCTCCTGCCCTTCTCGACTCACACTTCGAACTTATTCTCTTTTCAGCGCTCAAAAAGCAAACATCTGATGATAGCCGGAACACATCAAGCAGAATGCTTGATAATCTCGGCATAAGTGTAACTTGGAACTTCGAAATCATAGAATGATGAGCTTTCCCACAGAAACAATTTCTGGCTCTACACTTTTTCGCATTTCACTCCGAAGAAAAACATTTAAAACAAAGATTATTTTGCTTAATAATTTCAACACGCTCATTTCCTGAAAGCCTTTTAAAATTAGGACAATTTTGTGTCGAGTGGTTTGGATTAGTTTTACACAAAATACATGTTTGATCTTTTGCTCTAGATACATATACATTAGATATATTATTGTAATTATAATTACGAAGTTTATTAACATTATTTTCGTCGCCTCTTTTATTATCGTTGCCAGTAAATGATTTTGCAAAAAGGGATTCTGATTTTTGTTTACCTATTGATGACAAATAAATATCGCATTCACGACCTAAAGTTTGGGGTTCGAACTATGTCTCTCCCTGTTTAACTGCTATATGGGTCTTAAATTCACGATCAAATTCACTGAATATTTTATCCGAAACCAAAAGATCACATAACGATTTAAAATCTTTTACATTTCTCAACTGACAATAATATTCAAAATTTGCACTTAACCTTGATGCAAATTGCACAAAATTCTCAGATGACAATTTTTGCGTAGAATGAAAATGATTTAAGAACTCATGAAGGGTTGGTTAAAATTCCTTTAAAATCATGGATGTTAGTTCATCGTAATTATTAATATCTTCTTCCTTCACATATGCCATTAAATTAGTGACCTTCTCTCCCAAAATATTTAATAGGATTTCTGCTTTTAAATCTTCAGGTACTTGTTTAGTCCTAAAAGCCCTTTCAATTGACTGGAAAAAGAGATTAAAGGATTCTGCTTTGGTAGGTACAGAAATTGTTAATGTTTTTACACTTTTAATTAAATTTTCCATATTTCGATTTGAGGTATCCGTCTCAACATTTGGATTTTGTAGCAAGTCTTTCCTTGTGTTAACTAAAGCTAATTCCGCCGCTAACTGAGAAAGTTTTATTTTCTTTAACTCTAATCTAATTTCGTTTTCCGATTTTTGTTTTTCAATTTGTATTTTGTTTTCCTCTAGAATATTATCAATAACATTTTGCACAAATTCCAAATTCATTTGCATAAATTTCTGAACTTTCTATTAAAGTTTCCAAAGTAACAATTCTCGCCCCGCTCGGAATTACTAATCCCAACTCCTCCGCCAACGAGCGTCAACCGTCTTTTTTTAATGACTTAAGCGACTTCAGACTCATCTTAATTCAAAGAAAAATACAACAACCTTTAATTGACAACTAAAACACAACGAGCACAAAAACGAACACAGTAAAACTCAACACAGACACTATCAACTCAAATTATCAAGATGGAACACCTCAATACACAACACTAATAGACAGAATTTAACACTAACATTATTACAACAAAAAGAAATAACTACGCACCTTAATCTACACAATGGAACATCTTCACTTTCGATTTCCGCCAAACACAAATTCCCATATCACCACACTATTTTTTCACACAAAATTCGATATGATACACATTACCACCTAATCTCACTTCTGACACCCCCCCCCCAAAAAATCACCTCTTTTGTGAAGGGGGAATTGAAATATCGAAATCGGCGCTACCTTTCAGAACAAAACATTTATTCCTACTCACTGTACATATACTATGATACAGAAAAGCTAGCAAGATTATACAGCGCCCTCTTACGACAGGCAATGGATGACGTAACAAAGGGCATGTGTAAAAACATTTAATTCCATGTGTTTATAATTTCCAAGAAAGTTAAAAAATGTTTTCTTCATTTCTTAAATGAAAAATACGGATCTATAGCCAACTATTCAAATTATATTTTGTTGCTGAGTCGTTTTGAAACCTTTCATTAAGTTACTATATTTTATGGATGATCTTTCAGCATCAGGTAAATCACACGTTCTTGCAAGCGTAAGATGATGTCTTAGAAAATGATGAGTGTGAGGGAAAGCAAATAAAAAGTAGTAAATGAATTTCTTTATTAAAATTATGATAGCAAATGCAGGTATGTTGGAAGGAATATTGAGTCTACTGAGGAGAAAAAACATAAATGTCGAGGTATTTGTTATTCATTTGTGCATTTTTATTTATGCAGAACCAAAACTTTAATATGTAAAAGTTGAAGGGATGAAATTATAAATAATTTTAAAATATTCTTGTAATTTCATTGTATTTTCACCTGAACCAATTCTTCCCAACGTGTTCGTCCTAGTCCAACGTCTTTCATGGCTTTTATGGCGAATCTTCTCTGTTCTGCCCATTCGGATCCGTTTTGTCCACTGAAACCTGAAATAAAAGGGCTATATTTTACGTAACATTAATTTGAAACAATGATGAAAATCTATTCTACAAACGAAACACAACACGTAGCGCAACTAATTATAAAATTGAAGGGGAAAAGTAAAATTTCGTTCCAAAGTTAGAATAATGATGTTAATAATGGTGGTAATAATAATGATGTGATGAGTCTGTGGATCAAAAGGAAATGAATAGGAAACAAACCGGCTTTTGTGTAAACTGCAAAATAACACCAATTGCTAAGATAAAAGGATATAAGACTACCAAGTAAACAGCACAACTGGAAGGAAAGTGATGAGCATGCGCATATACCACTATAAAAAATAACCATCATCATTATCAAATATTATTTGATCAAAAAGGAGATAACTCACTGTATGAGCCGTTCATCAGTAAATGAAAAGAAAGCATCAAAGGAGTTAATCAACCTGTTATGTTAGTTAAATACTGTATAGAGAGTTTCCCTCTTCTTTGGTAACATAAACTACGAGAACTCTACCTAAGACTTTAGCGATTTATCGCTATATCTTGGAAATTATCGCAAAGACTGTGAAGGATCTAACGGATCCTTGTCTTTAACTCAGATAAAGTGAACAGAAGGCACTTCTTGTGCTTACAGAAACAGCCAGTATTTATAGCGTGAATCAAACAGTAACGGAAATGAAATTAAAACTAAAATAATCGTAAGTTAAACGAAAAAGCTACATAGACAGGAAATGCGCATGTTCGCTCAGACCTGATATCGGCGTGTCGAGCCTAATGGCGAGAATAACGCAACGCCGCAAATGTAATGCTCTGAAGAGAATCAAGTAGCAAACGGGACCTTTAGCAGACGGAACACGCTCTGAATCTGCCATCTAAAACCTTCCTTTAAATATTAGCTCTTATCTACCTCACTCGCGAACTAGAAATACTCGCGAACTAGAAATTAGCATTCTGGCAGGAAAACAGAAACCGAGAAAGACAGAAAATCTGATTAACATAACTGGTTAACAAAATGTGTACTCTACAACTGAAAAAAGCAAGTGGTGCTGAAGTTTCAGAAAACAGAAAGAATGACATCAACTCCTAATACGTCTCATTGTCTATATGTCTCATTGTTACTCTTTAGATACACTGATGTTTCTGTTAGGTGAAAATTTGAATGCTAATTGCCCACCTTAGGTTGAATGGTAAAACCGCTGAACAAGACACTTTTTCGTAGATACATTTAACAGATTCTTGCACTTGATTTGCAGATGACTTATCTGTTTTGATAAATTGTAAAAAAAAATTAAATAATTATACAAAATATAAAAATTACAAAATTAATATATAAAAGTTAAAGAGTTACCAATTAATTTCAGTTAATAAGTCACAATTGTTTATTTTTATTTATACTTTGTTTCTGCATACATTATGTATACTTTGTAGCATGTGTGTATATGGTACAGCTCCAAGTTTTATGAATCTATTTTTACTAGTGGAATAGGCCTGTAATTTGAGGAAACCACTTAAAAAAATTAGCCTAATCACTTACCTCTTGGATAGTTTAGAAAAAGTGGTAAAACATAAAATTGGAGCTAAAGGGTACAAATAGAAGGGTGTCCTTTTAATGAATGTAATTAGCATTTAATTCTTCGAAATTTTCTTGAAAGAGTTATTTATAGCATAAAATGCAAGTAAGTTTATATTTACACTCAAATTTTCTAGCATTTAAGGAATTTTTAATTCATTTCCCTGTTTTAACAAAATTGAGATATCCAGGTTTTATTAGTGAATGGAGTAAAGAGAGATGATGATGGATATTTGCTTTCTGAAAATTTATGTAGCTGATGCGATGGTAGCGGCATGGATTTTTACAAAAATATTCTGCCCTTAAAATATTTATTTTACTATTAAGGAAATATAAATAAAATTTACATCCAATAAATATATTGAATTTTCCCCCTTATGTGGATTTTATATTATTTTGGAATAAACTTGATTCAGATTACATAAATGGATTCCATTTTTATTAAAATAACAGAAATAAAGTTTGAATGGGGAATTCTCAATGATAATTTTAATTACATAAACAAAGTAAATTGTTTTTAAATTATTGAAGATATACATTTTTACCGCCTATGAAAATACTACTCTATGAAAAATTTAATGTAAATCATTCGACCAACTCATGTTTATTGATTTTACTTATGCTTATTTTAAGTGAAAACTAGTTTTTTCGGCACAGTTAAACTTCGCGATTATAGTAAAGTGACCACACGTCCCGATTTTGGCGGGACAGTCCCACGTTTTGGAGGACTGGCCCGCCGATTTTTAGAAATGTCCCGCTTTTTAGAAAACATCTGCATTTCTTATTTTAGATGAACTGTAAAAATATATTACCTATTATTTATTAATTATTATAGTAAATATAAAGAAATAAAAAATACATAAATAAAAAAACATATAAAATGCATGCAGAGTAAACTAAATCAGGCGATGTAACGAGTTAGATTTACTCGGTGGTGTTCGATCATTGTCGTTACGTCTCGTCTAGGAATATGTATTGTTAACGGAGGAACAGCTAGCATTAGCTGAAGGCCTATTTGCTTTCCACACCATAAACCACAATCAAAGTTTCAGATCAATTTATTGTGCGTCGCAAATAATCAAAACATTGTAAGACAAAATATTTGCATGTGCAAGGGCAAAAACCGAAGCAATTATTAGTAATGTTTTTTCACCATATTCTTTTTCCCAATTGCAGAAAAAATTAGATAAATGCACATTTATATCCATTTATTATGATGCTTCTAGCCACAAAGATTTAAAATTATTTTCCACAAATGTTAGACTTTTTGATCCAGAAACAGGAATTAAAATTAGAATATTAGATTTTATTTCATTGCCGGGTGAAACTTCTTAAATAATTTTTGATTCAATAAGTACCATTTTAAAAAAGAATAATTTGAACAATAAAATTATTGTCTATTGTGAGGATAACACTAACGCAAATTTTGGCGGAAAAGCTAGAAGAGGCATCAATAACGTTTTTACGAAACTTAACGAACATTTGAATCAAAAAATTATTATTGTAGGTTGTGCAGCGCACATTCTACACAATACTATTCAAACAGCATCTGACTTACTTCCAGTTAATGTTGAAAATACTATTTCAAAAATGTATTCGTATTTTTATACATATACTGTGCGTGTTGAAAGTTTGAAGGATTTTTTTGAAAGCGCAGAAATCGAATATAAAAGAATTATTGGTTACATCAAAACACGATGGCTACCTCTTTTACCAGCTGTAGAAAATATTTTAAAAATATATGAACCATTAAAATCATACCTTTTATCACAAGATAAATATCCAAGAATATTGCAGCTCTTTTTTGAAAATGACATATCATCACAGCCAAGCTACATTATTCGCAAAGCTTCAGTTCATCCACAGCCAAGCTACATTATTTCGCAATGCTGTGAAAATTATTGAATGGGGCAAAATTTCAATTACGAAAGAGTCAAATGAAATAATTTTAAAATAAAATTGGGAGAAAGAATTGATAAGTTAGTTATTCGAAAGGACATCACTAGGTTGGTAAAACAAGGTGCCAAATTAAACGACCGGATTTTCTGAAAGAAGTCAGAAATTTTTATAACTGTTCGGAATATCTTGAAGAACGGACAGTTTAATCCGAGAATATTAAAAATTTTCATTGGCTGACATTAAAAAAAGATATTTTATGAGAATATGTGGAAAAATCTTTTTAATATATTAGTAACCATTTTCCGAAAAATAATATTTGCTAAAATGATCTTTTTGATAAGGTGTCATTGGTAAAAAGATACGTTACTGGTAAAAATATTAAATGTTGGTTGTCTGCAAATGTGGAAACAGACATAAATGGACGGAGTTATTCCTTCATTGTAACAATAAATAATTTCCTTGTTTTGAAATAATAATATTCCTTGTTTGAAATAATAATAATTCTTGTTTTAAATTAATAATATTCCTTATTTTGAAAATTATAGAACACGCGCTCTCCAGGAACAAATGCAGCAACAAGACGTGTTTTTTCTAGTATCAATAAAATATGGACAATTGAAAAAACGCAGTTGAACATTAAAACTTTTAAAATCTGTATTAAGCGTAAAATGTAATTTGACCAATTCCTGTGAGAAATTTCACGACATTTTAATAAGTGATCCAAATCTGTTGCAAATATTCACTCGGATAAAAAATATCACCGTGAAAGAAAATCATAATTTTTTTAATAAAATTTTAAATTAATTAAAAAACATAATAATCAAATTATTGTTTTTTTATAAATATTTTTAGTTACCAATAGTTAATAATAAATATACTTTTGTATATTTATAGTCAAGTATATGAATGCATACAATAAAATATATTTTTTTGAACTATTGGTCTGCTTTCATAACTAAATTACAATTTTCATTTCATTCCATTGTCCCGTTATTTTCATTGTGATAACACAATGAAAATGTGGTCACTTTAGATTATAGTGAAGAGGAGGAGATCGACTATTTAGATCACGTGACCTTCCAAAACTGATTTCGCTTGCCGATAAATCAGGAAACAGCGCGCTTCGCGCGCTATCCCAGCAATAATTTGTCTGATTGATTGATTGAAGGTTACTCATAATTAGGAGAAAGCGCACAGCTGCTCAGGTCACGGAAAAACTGGAAAAACGTGGAAATCCCCAGAGTCCGAAAAGCGAACTATCTTGGTATAATCATCAATGATAAATTCTCTTGGAAAGACCACTTAACTCATGTGAGAGGTAAAACACTTGGTGTTATCCGAAGTCTAAATCCTATCCTGAATGAATCTTCAAAATTAGATCTATTCCGTAAAAGACATCTATATGTCTCAGTTATTCGACCCATCTTCACATATGCATCCCCTGCTTGGGCGACGATTAAAGATAATGATATTTATAAACTACATGTCACGCAAAATAAACTGCTACGCACTTTCACAAATGCTCATTACTATG